ACTATTCCTTAATGTATTTTTTTTATAAATGTTTATATTGTGTACGTAAGAATAAATAAATTAATTAATTAACAAATATTTAATCACCTTAAGTATTAGTCTTTGAATAATACAATAGCAAGTGGTATGTAAATAAAAAAAAGGATTAAAGATAATGGTTTCATGACATAATAGTTTTTTGTTATGAACAACCTATCAAGCTTTGAAAGGAAATCTTACTAAGAACTTATTTCTAAAGAATGCTCAAGTAATTAAAAAAATATATATATTTATAAAGAAAAAGCTGCAATACCAAGTAATACGGTTAAAGAGCAAGAAGTTTCAATACAGTTTTCGTATTATTAATGTCCAATCCCAATAGTTAAAAAATAATTTGCTCAACAGCAATATAGTGACATTGCACCTAGGTTATATGATAAACTTAATTTTAATTACAAAACCAGATATTTATCGACCTACGAAATAAAAAAAAACTAAAATATGGCTGAAAAGTTTAGGCTACTATGATGTAGAAAGCTTATTGCTAACTACATGGTTCAAGTTTAAACCTACTTTCAATACACGCACTTACACACACACACATACATGAACACGCAAAATTAACAAAATACCTTTTGTAAGTATGCTTCAATTTTTCTACGTATGTTCCACATGATAATTGTAACAACGTATTGTATCTTCTTTTTTTGAGTGAACTGATTCCCGATATACAGCTCACGCTAGTTTCAGAATCGTTCGATTCCAAAACATATCTGACAGGATTTACTTTTATAAATAAATATCATTTATCATAATCAGGGCTTGCACTTGATTTGTATGCACCTTTTGTTACAATAAAGATTTTTAAATTTATTTTTTATAAAGTATGTAGTTTATAAATGAATAAGAATAAATAGTGTCTGCTGAATTAGTAAAAGTTGTCGGTCACATCCTCTGTTTCTAACAAGTGGTAGCTCGATGGTCGCTACGTAAAAAAACTTACTAACAACTTTAAGGCAGAAATTGGTTTTAAGAACTACTTTTTTATGAATTGAGAGTACTTTGATGACGTTTCTAGTTTCCGGCAACAATAAACATTAGCTATTAATTACTCGTTCTGATGCTCTGACAATGCACTAAATGTATCATAATGATTTGAAGATGTCATAAGTTCTCAGACTTATTTGGCACGAACATATTCGTGGCCTATCCCAACAAGTGACCTATCTGTTTGTTTGCCATACCACCAAAATTACCATATAAAATAAACTTTTGTTAAACAATTTTCATGTTAATCTTGCAAGTTTCGACTTACATGGTAGAACAGAAACTCTAGAGTAACCTTAAATCATCTATCAAAACAAGTCTCGTAGTGGCCAATTAACTAATAACATTATTTGAAATATCTTTCTCATTTTTTCACGATAATTGTATCTTAACTACCTCTTATTTCAAACAAAAGTAATTTTGTTCTACAATAGCTCAAATCCGTAGTCCAAGCAAGACTTTTTTACTTTCCTAGACAATCTTAGTAAAAGTTTTCGGTTTACAACTTACTTGCAAGGATGTCAAAACACAACTATGACATTTATTCTTCAGGGATACAAAGTGGGTGTACAACTACATAAAACTTTGTTTTAGATGTAGATAAGTCTGCATAGTTCGCGTATAAGTCCTGTTTCCATAAAATTTTGCAAGAAAATATTGCTTCTTGACATTTTTCATCCCTGTATATCCCATTGGGGAAGTAACACTTCATCTAAACTCTGTTGGTTTTAAGGTGTCGTATGTCGGACTAGACCCGGATGAATCAATAAATCATAAAAAAACCGGTTGAACTCCGGGAGTGCCAGCAGAAGTGAAAACTTGAATATTAACGTTGTGCATTTTTGATATTTTGGAATGGTTAGGGAATAATTTTTCACGATTTGCTTTAATTATCAGTATAAAAGTACTATCATTTATGTGGTAGATTACAATATTTATTTATTGCGCTATCGTACAAACATGACAATTTATCGAGACGCTGTCACCATCCATGGATGCGCGTGGCACGCTGTAACATAAACACACACGAACATTCGCGCAAGCGCCCTGGGCCGCCTAAACGAAACAGCAGGCGCAGGCATACATTTTCGCCGAGCCGTAGAGAAGAGAGGAGGATACTTCCTCTCCTACGCCGCGTCGGCAGTCTACTCTCCAGCGGTCTTACGAATTTTCGATCAGGTCACGTGTCTGACGCGAGTTTAACATTTTTACCCATTACAAAAAAAGTGTACAACGCCGCTAAAGAAGTTTTCACTTCAAAAATAGTAGAATATTAGTTAGAGTTATTATTATACAATTACTCTGGTGGCGGAATAAATAATTCTTAACATTATTGACTTGACAAGTAAGATATTACTAATCATATTGAGCGATTGTAATTTAAAAGTTCTGACAGCAGAACTTTAGGTTCGCACTGTCTCCTGACCAGAAATCTGGCACTTTTTAAAAATAAACAAAATTGTAACTGATTTTAAAATTACCATCGTCGTTTTAATTAGTTCACTGCTGGTCATATGCCACTCGCAAGAAAGGCTATATCACGCTGGCCAGACCAGGTTGATGTAGGGTTTGTTTCAAGTTTTCCTTCTATTTGCAGTACTGTTATCCTGCATAGTTTGTTCTCTCAGTCGGCTATTACGATAACCATGAGTTGAATAGTGGTGGTGATACTCAGTATTCCTAATCCGTCATCACACGGGTTGAAAGCTATAGGCATTACAAATATAATAATCTGATAGTTTACAGCCGGTACACAATTCTGTTTTGTCTTTGACAAAGTCACCTCTGCTGAAAAGGTAGAATGAAGTGGAGATCACACATTGCATTCTACATCAAAGTCCCTCTGGGTTTCCATCGCAGAAACAATATATTATCAGTGTTAAATTTTTATGTTTTAAAATTCCATTATACTTAAAAATCTGCCATAACAACACATACGCATTTAAAATAAAAACAATTACTTGAAATCGACTTAACTTTTCGCCAATATACTTCAAATCGGAAATTCAACGTGTTGTGTACATAAATGCAGCTTATAAATTGGTGCGTATTGACAGCTTTGTTCCAAGGTTTTACATAAATTCTTTAAAAACATCTGAAATTTCGGTGGTAAACAAATCTCTATAGTTAATGCGTCACTCATTTCCTGTACACATGACTAAGGAAATAAGCTCCTAGTCAATTTTGCCTTTCACATTAAATATAAACAAGAGGAAATCTCATTTACCCCAAAGGAATTGCGAACGCATTGATAAAGCAGATAAGACGATGTTCTGAAGACCGTGCCACGTACAGACAACTGAAAAGTTTTGAATTTCCTTCTTTTGATTGCGGTCAAACGAACGGAAACTTTAAAATTGTTTTCTACCGGCGCAGTTTCTCAATCCATGTAATTTGTATTAAATAACTCTTTGTTGTTCCGCAAGTTTAATTAGCGAATTTCGTGCTAACCAGTTGACTATAGTGATTGTAAAAGAAAATGTTTCGCGTGTTTAATTACTTTGTTAAAGATTTCTTCAAGCAGCAGCAGTTGAATGATTAGATAACTCATTTCAGCAAAGAAATCGGAATTAATTTCGAGATTCAGTTTGAATAGTTTTATTAGGTAATTTTTGCAATTATTTCTTAGAAAAATAATTTTGATAGAAAAGAAGGTTTCCTTTATTTGTGTCTTCTATTCGCCCACAGTAGGTACATTTATAAAGGTATCAATATATTTTATTTAAGTACACATAGTAATCTTTGATTTTAAAAAATATTTATGAAATATATTTAAAACACCATAACGATTTTCAAGAAAATACTGCTCATAATATGTCTGACGGAATATCGATCCCGCGGTATTAAAGAAAATGGGACATCACCATAGCTGACGTCATTGACGCTATTACTTGGATGGTTAGTCACTTTCGTACTCGTCATTTTACGACTTTTAGGCCGTAATAATAGTCTAGTATATAATAATATTTTGATCGGTCTATATATTAAATAAAGTTTCCCATTACATTTTTTAAATGCCTTACAGAAATATACAAAACATTCTATTCCATTTTTGGTATAAGCAAAGCCTGTTTTTGTACCTGACTATTTTATCATAAAACATTTATTTCCTGTGAATGTAAAATATGTTTATCTACCAAACAGATTTTATGCCCAGTTCCGCTTGATTGAACTTTCTTGTTTTTTTCCTGTATCTATTCATCTTTTATGAACAGTCGGTGATACATGGATCCTGCTGTTTTTTATTGCTTGTATGTTGACAGCACTAACTATATTATACCTATGACTTGATTTTTGACGAACGAGAACAGAGAAACTTAGGCATAAACAAAACAGGAATTTAAGACGACGATTGGTGAGTCTCGTCTACGCAGTATGCCTGAAATTGGCGAGTCCTTTAAAGTATTCAAAGCAATCTACATATATTAAGGAACCTGTAGCAATCTATTTTGAGGAACCGAAGGCGTTTATCGTAAAGTTTGTTGAAAGCTTCAATTAGTATTCTTATTTCTTACGCCAATCGCTACAATCTGGCTTGTGTTTGATTAGTTTTAGATATTTCGTTACTTGTTAATCTTATCATACGTAATCATGATTTTCACGGCGTATTATATATTATGTTATTTTATGTCGATATCTATTTATCAAGTTCAAATAGGCTCTGTTGTCATATTTACTTGCAAAGTTATCGATTTGGTTATTTAAAATAATAAAATATAGTTATTTACATTGATTAAATGATAAAATTTGTTTTCGGACACAAAAGTGATGAGCGAAAAATATTTGTAGTAATAAAAAGTCCAGGTATAAAGTTTAACTTTTATCTTTACAGATAAAACGCGACTTTTAATTATTTCGAGCACGAAAAAAGGGTCAGTGAGAGAAACAAAGCCAACAATCGACTGTACGCCTGACAATAATTGCAGCACCCATGAGGCTTGTGAACCATGAGTGCCTGGTGTTGCATCGCGATCATGATGTCGACTATCAGCACCAGTGTTCTATCACCGGCTCCACAGAAAACTGAGGCTAAAGAAACATACGGTAAGGAAACGTATTTCTGACTTTTAACTAATTTGCTTTGGGTCATAATTAAGCCCTCAATCGAAATCCCTGAAGTTAACATTTAAGTAATTGTAAAATTTCTTTTTTTTTAATATAGTTTTTTTTATTAATATTCTAGTATGATTTAATAATAAGTATCAAGCGGGTAGAGATTTTTCATGTCTTCAATTTTATTAACAACATCAAATAATATTTAATTTCAAATCTATTCTTTTAAAAAAACATCACATATAAACAAGTAAACTGGTAGACCATCTAAAGACAAATTAATCGTTAAAATTAATAAAACTTTTAGTCAAAAACACAGCATTATTAAAGAAATTTATCTAACGCCATCAACAGAACAGTAATGACTTCCAGTTGTTTTCATTCTGATTAAATAGTCTCGTTTTTCATTTGGCTCGTAAAAACAATGAAGTCAGTTCACGAAATAAGAATTAATCAAAATCTAAATTGCCAAGTTGTTTGCGTCACAGCACATTTACAAAAAAAAATCTCAAACCTAAAAACCTTTTTACAATTTAAATTTAATTGAATACGGTATCGCATTTTATTCATAAATAAATTTTAAGTAAAACTGCTTTAGAAAATTGTACTAAACCAAGGTTAATATTACAATACAAAGAAAATTCGTTGAAAACTATGATCTTAAATAGTGGTTTGTTCTGTAATATAAAATATAGTTAACAATATTACAAGACAAATAAATAAATTTATTTTCTTACCACTACTTATAGGTACTCCAAATTGTTTCTATGTTGCATTAATATTCAACATCATAATTATTTTTGAATCGCAACTACACTTGTAATTGTACTCTCATGTCGAAATTCGTCAGAACGAAACGAATATGAATGCAAATTGTTTTCATTTACATACTTATGTGGCATTCTTTTGAGTTTCTACAAATTCACAAATAATTGGCAAACTGCTTTTGCAGATTGATATGATAATATCACAAAATATGAAGACGTCAAAATTTAAAGAGCAAAAAACAAAAAACGTCCTTCGATAATGTCATTGTGTTATATTAACATTTAACATAACAGGACCAACAAAAAAGATTTCAGCACTCAACTACTTTACAGGGATAATAAAAATCTTGTTACTCCACTTACTTCTAACATTATACGTACTGAGAGGGAAACCTTATGCCTTGTAAAGGAAAACATCGTTTGCTTTTATTGGATAAACGAAAGTATTGTAGGTGTTCTTTTATTCGTTAATTTCGCATTAGTTTGAAAGGACTGATGTCTTAAATAAGTTGTAATTTTAGTTGTAATAAATAATTTTTCAACTGTACCAAAATAATGTACACATTTATAATAATATAATTATATAAAACAAATAAAATTCATATTTATGTGAAATGAAAAATAGATTTGTAATTAAAAATAACATTCAACAAGATAAAAGTTTAGTAGTTAAGCTTTTTTTTTATTTGAACTGCTTGTAATGTGGAATATCTTGCATTACATTACTAAATTGCCTAAAGTGTTTGAATGAGATACCTCTGAGTTATTTCATTACTGATTGATAATTTAAATTATTTTTTAAATTAAGAAAAAAACTATATATTATTATATACCAATAAACAAGTTGATTTACAATATAACATACCAATATGTAGATATATATTGATATTTATAAGTACATATTGAAATGTTACAGTGTATGCTACGAGATGCTCTCAGGATATCCAATTTTGATTTAGAAAATCTTTCAGCATTAGACAGTCCATTTAAAAATGTTATAAAACACATTATATTTGCTAATGAGAGTGTAGCGGTAAGTAGGTATTAATATATGTGAGGGTTCATTTATTATGCATATTTCCCGGTAATTAACGTGAAAACGAAACGCCTGAGTATGTCGCTCAGCATTTTTTTAGTTTGAATTTGAGTTTAAAACGCATGTAAAACTAAGCGATCGCGTTAATTCCCGTACACAAGCATAATTACATTTATCATGAAAGTTAAAGTCAAGAAACTGGTTGAAGTATACTCCGCAGCGTATCCCGGTACATCTCTTACGGGAGTGAGATGTAATCGTACACATTAACAAAAAAAATGGGTATGAAAATGCGGCGAACAGCCAGTTTTATACACATACAAGTACATATTATATTGCTTGGCAACTATTCAAAGATGTTGCCCAAGTAGCGGGACAGTTTCGGATATTGTAACATCCTGTTGGACACAGTTCAGAAGGTCAGCAATATGTTTGTATGCATATATGTAATACAAGCGAGTTTGTGTTAGAAATTATGTTACTTTTCTCATCGTTCGATTCAATTCAATATTTAATATTAGATATTTAATATTTTCATCAATATTTAATATTAGATATTAAATATTGAATTATTTATAGATATTGAATTAATTTATAAATTGTTTGAGATTCTTAGTAATATCGTATTGTGAATTACGTAATAAGGTATTTTTTTCCAAATAATTTTATGACACAGACTTAACTTATCTCTTATCAAATTGAATTTTCTTAGAAAATAATCTGAACAGAGATAGTATCTAAAACCTTAATTTATTTGATTATTACTCGTCTCTATATATTGCTAGGTAACGTAACCTATAGAATGTACAGAATTTATACGCCTTTTATTTTTATGTGACTTCATATTTTAAACTTCGCCATAACAGAATTCATGCGAAAAATTTCATGGTTTCCTTGTGACAAGTTCTGGCCATAAAAATTAGTTATTTACTGAACGAAGTTTGATCGTGTATTATTGACATTGTTAACATATTAATTTCTTTCCCAGATCGCCATTACTGGTACGCTCAGGCGCAGGAAACGTTGCAGAAACGTTTACAGTACGCAGCTGATAAAAATCCTGTAGCCAAGTGAGTTTTTTAATAATAATTTAAATAATTAGCTTTATAATTATAATAATAAATAAGAATAAGAAAAACGAATAGTCTTAAACTGTCTTCAAGGCTCTTACTTATTGATTTTAAACTTGAGATTTTGTTTATCCACAATATATATCTATCCACAAGCCTATTACAATTCACCGCGCGCGCGCATTCATGAGCGGTCAGAAATGTCTGTGAATGCCATTAAGTGTACGAACTGTAATGTTTGTTATTTCGGAGGTGCTTGCATTTATCCGGAATAGGCATGATTTGGTGGACAATGAGAGTTTATTACGAATTTGCGAATCGGCTTTTTCTGAGGCAGAAATAGACGAAGCAAAAAAGTTACTGTTTGTTTCAACGAAAACAAGTCGAAATTGGTATCGAGAGGGAAAAAACAGAAAATGTAGGATATAAAAGATGATATATTATCTGTGTTCGGGACTATGAACCCCGATCAAATACCCATCTGTGTGGCATATGACTTACATAAACTGGAGTATGCATATACTCCAGTTTTGATCACGTAGATGTCACAAAGTTATTAAAAGATATATTAGTTTTACGTGCTAAAGTGTCTGGAATAAAAAGTAATTCGCAAGCATTCGTCTAAAGCGCATTTAGAAATTCAGATATATATTATAATATGAAAAAAGGACGGTATGTATCAGACGATAACGCCTCTGATTAAAATCAAATACCGTCTAGTGGCTCAATAGTGCATCTAACGCTACTGCGTTCATTTTATTTAGTGAATCATCAATCTCTCAAATAGATTCCAACCTAACTGATAAGAATATACCTGTCGCGCATATATCTACTAACGCGCCCGTGCGAGTAAAGGATCCATTATCGCATGTAGACAAACTAAAAATGGCAGAAATACCCCCCTGTGACCCTGCTGTTAGACTTTCTGATTAGGAAGTTGCTTCAGTTATACAGGGGATGTAGAGAGGCAAGTCCCCTGGTCATGATGACCTCAGCATCGTGCATCTGAAATGTGCAGAAGTACATTTGTAATGAGTACTTTAACTATTTTTTAATTTATGTATTAAGCATTGCTACTTACCTGATGCTCTAATGTATACAATGGTGGTGCCTATAGTAAAAAAAACCAAAACGTTTGATGTGTCTGACATACCCAATTATAGACCCATATCATTGGCGACCATTATAGCCAAGGTGTTGGACACTCACTTGATAAAGAATTAGCCAAGCATCTTCAGTTATATGACAACCAGTTTGGTTTTAGAACGGGGCTATCCAGCGAGAGCGCTATTTTGTATCTTAAGCAGACTGTACAATACTATAGGGACTGTTTTTTGGACTGAACAACTAGACATTATGATTAATTTTCTAAAGAGTTATCCTCTAACTCCTAAATATATATATATATATCACATCAACAGCCTTTAACAGTCCACTGCTGGCCATAAGCCTCTCCTTAGAAAGGAGGTTTTAGCCTACTATACCACGCTGGCCAGACGGGTTGGTATAGAGTTTGTGTCAATTTTTCCTTCTCTCTGCAGTGCTGTTGTTCTGCGTAGTTTTTCTCTTAATCGGCTCCTACGACACCCACGGGATGAATAGGGGTGGTGACATTCTGTATTCTTAATCCGTCACCACACGGACCAATATATATATGTATATATATATTCATTTATTCACAAAGTTTAGCGACTTTCATAAAATAAACACTAGAAATAAAGATAAACTCGTGTAACCAACCACTAGACTACAAATTATTTAATTTTGTTCACGGACTAAGAAAAAGACACCTCTGTGGTTTGTTTTGGCATTTCTTCTCAGAGTAGTAGTAGTAGTAGTAGAGTGAGTCTTAGAAAGTGCCGGCTCCTTCTAGCTGTAAAGGTCAACTTGCAAAAATATCTGAAAAGATTTACTTACAGAAATAGATATAATTTATCATCAGGTGACCCATCTGCTCGTTTGCCACCCCTATAATATTAAAAAAAACATGGTAAAAATCAATTTAGAACCATATTAATCATTAATTACCATAGAAAGAGTAGTAGGATATAACTACGTTCTTATGAAGAAATAGTGATACTATTCTATTATTCATTTACTTCTTACACTATGGAAGATTTACATTAAATAAAAACAGGATTTAAACAGAGAAGAAAAGATAGCCAATATCGAACCTCACTTATATGTAACAGAACAGACATCTCACCGTATCGCTGAGAGGTCTAAGTAAGAGGCCTAGAAGAATTTAATGCCTAAGAACATCCTTACTCCTGACACACTAGCATTAAAAATTTCGATATGAGATTGTTTGCCCTATAGTCCCAAATATCTGTACAGTGCCCTATTTCCTAACATTGAATGAATTCAAATAATTTGACTAAGTCAAGGATTGCCGTATAAAACGAGAGTTTAGATTAAAAACTGTGCCGGAGGAAAAGTAATTTTCATACTAGTTTTATTTCGGACGCGAATACTGTTGGCTTAGTGGTCGATTCACACAAATTTGTTCGCACACTTTTTAAAATTATTATTTTTTTAGTAATCTGAATTTATTATATTAGTGTGACACCTCTAGAGAAATGGTGGTGATTCACGTACGTACGTGAGCAATTCTTGTAATTTACCTATATATACCGTATCTGTAAGTCCGGATCCTAGGCATCGACATCTCGAGGGAAGTCCTGTTTCGCGTTCATTTAGAGGCTAAGTCCAAATTGGCCTCGAAGAAGCTTGGTGTGCTGAACGAGAATGAGACCAAGGCAGTATTTCACTCCAGCTCATCGCCTCCAACTCTATAGGGCGCAAGTCCGGCCGCACATGGAATACTGTTCTCATCTCTATGCAGGGGCACCTCAGTACCAGCTTTTTCCTCTGGAGCGTATCCAAAGAAGAGTGACTCGAATCGTCGATACCCAAAAGATATCCGACCGCTTGGCGTTGCGTGGAGTCTTCGCTTCGCTCTATTCGCTCTATTCGCTCTATTCGCTACTTCGCTCTATCGTATTTATCATGGAGAGTGCTTCGACTAATTCGGGCCGCAACTTTCCACCATCGTTTCACACGTCAAAATTTTCATCCTTATCACTTGGATAATTGGCATTTCACCACTGTGCGCTTTTTAAGACATTTTGCATCGCACTGCCAACCTGTGGAACAAGTTATCGTCTGCGGTATTTCCGGTCAGATACGACCTTCAAGAAAAGACTCCGTACTCCTTCCTCAAAGGCCGGCAACGCGCTCGTGACTCCTGAGTTGCAGGCGTTCATTGGCGCCAGTAGTCGCTTTCCATTAGGTGACCCGTATGCTTATTTGACCCATTTTATATATACAATTTGCTAATATACATCATTTCTTAGTCTGATAGACTTGAATCAAGTGGCATTCCGACACTGGTGAGTTAATTAATGAATCCAGAGCCAAATGAAGTTCTGTATTTAATATTTTCAAAAAGTATGCATAGTTTTGTATGAATTAAAACAGTGCACCTAGTGCGATATTTCAATACATTTTTCAGAATAATGTGGCCCAGTTACGCGGTTATAACGACCACCTCAATGGCTAAAACCACCACTATTTAGTGCTGACTAACTGAAATGAGAGCTTTAAACATAAACTTGGTCTTTTTCGATATTAAAATATTGCTACTTACTACTAGTAAGAAAACTTAATTTTATTCTATAACCTCCCTTTACCGTACTAACAAAAAATTTTTTATGGCCTAAGTTATCATTGAGATTGCAAATTACGATGTCCATGTAAACAGTGATGTTGAAACTATCAAACCAAACCAACGTATTATTGTTGTCACGCCAACATGTATATTTTGGAAAATAATAATATAGTTTTTGGTTGTTAAATGAAAAAGGTTATAAAATCATGATGCAATCCATAGAAGCAAAATCTGGGTACAGATACTATATATATGGGTAGTATATATATATACTACATATCCACCACATATACTCACTACACATACAGAAAAAGAATCAGTATCAAAACCATTCAATCCAATTTAAATGTTATTGCACAGTACGAATTTCGATTTCCTGATTTATTTGTGGCTGTATCACTTTAGAATTCTACATGAATATTATTTCATGTATTACGATATTGAGTATGATTGCAAGTAGATATATCTACATTTATTTATTTACACATCATGCACATTTGGTGCATTGGCGGACTTAATGCCTAAGGCATTCTCTACCAGTCAACCATTGGGTGATGCAGAGAAAACAGGAAGTAGGTGCATTTTAGTTACACTTGATTTATATTTTATATTACATGTACACTTTGTACAAAATCATATAATATATACACATATACAAATCTGTCATATACTACACATATACATATTAAAATTACACATAAGTACATAACTTATAGCCACATTTAGTTTGTGTTAAAAAAAAATTGAAGAAAGTACCACGCTTTTTAGAATCTGAATATTTCTACGATCCAATAACAGCATAACTACCCTTACTATTCTAATAGCAGGTACTTCAGGGTGAATACAACTTTGTTAAAAGCTATTCCAAGTTCAAGACAATTACATCCCTGGGTCATATCGTGTCTTATAGACATGATTGCTGTTCTAGAACATTGGATAATGAGGAAAGTAGGTTACCGTCGTTAATACATGCTATAATACTACATGAATATCGCACCCTTAGTAATATAAAGACATAATACAAAAAAGTAGTTTTTTGTGCAATCGCGTTTAAAGATTCTGGATTATTACGTTCCAGCTTATTTTTCAAATAAAATGCATATAAAATAAATTATAAATGTCAAATTTGCAGATTTATTATTTGATAACAATACTGTAAATAGCCATGAAACAAAATTGATCATATAAATAAATTTCATAAATTACAAGTAATTGAAAAAACACTTTTACCTTCACTTTTTGGCAATTTAGCGATCTGTTATGAATCAGATCCAAAAATTTACTTAATTTTGTATAATATAAAGGCGCAACTACAAATTGTTCTATGTAATACAAAAAGTTTTTAATAAAACTCACCTGTTATTTGCACAAACACGAATAGAACAAAGTTTTGACGGTTCGCTTTCGGCAAATATGGACACGTTACTACTTGTGACCTGGTAGCACTAAAAGCGGAAGACTAGCAAGGAGAGGCACAAATATATTAACCGAGGCAATATTATCCTTTTTTTTCTCTGTCAGTGCTAACCGGTAGAGAATTGCATTTTGTGATAAGTTAGCATTTAAAATTACACTTCATCAAAATTTTGACTTGACCCCTTGATATTACTTAGGGTGCGATATAGTTTCTCAATATCTGCATTGCTCTTTATAGCGATGCAGCGTTTTCGAATATTAGGTAAACCTCACTCGATTGAAAAGAAAAACGTAGTAAAAAAAGATTTGTATTTGTTCACTGCAATTTTTTAGAGCAAGCGCTGTTTTGCAGGTACGTGTATTACACGATAGCCTAAATAAGCAGTGTAATATTTTCAGGTCTGTTGTTTGTTTTTTTTTTCAATATTAACTGATAATTTAATTTTTTATACTGGCGTGAGCACATATGGACCAGCTCGACCTAGTGATACTACGGCCTCACCAAGTGAGTGAAGTTACCGGAGTCAAACACAAAATATCTTTATTTTATAAAAAAAGTTTGAAATCGTGTTTTATGTAGACTCTGAAGTCGTAGATCAACACACACACACACAATAGCAAAACTCTTTGTTTAGTCAAATAGTTAGCAATATAAATCTAAAAAAAAAATTTACCTATAGAAAATCTCTCTATCAAATACGACCATGTTTCCTCCTCTCGTCGCGAATTGAACTGGCTCACGATTCGTCAGCGCCGTCAGCTGCACGCCCTCACCACCCTCTATTCCATACTCAACTCACCTTTTTTTTTTTTTTTTTGTAACGCGGGGAATGCTTTTCGCACCATACCCTCCGTTGGGGAAACGCAGGGCGTGTGTGGGACTCCCGGAGAACCGGTCTACCCACTAAACCCCGCGGCGGCCTACCTCGGCAGTCAGGAGGACCTCCAGGAACGCATCGGCGGCTTCTGGAGTCCTCCCTGCCGTACCCCATGTCTGAGGCACATCCCGGGGTGACTGTAGTCACCCTAGGGCGGGAGGCTGCCGCGCCTTTCACTACTCTATACAGTAGGAGGCGCAACAGCGCCCCGCCATGGACAAAACTCCCCGGCCGCACCGGAGTGTCGTCTGTCTCGGGTCGTTTGCAGCGGCCACATAGCCCCAAGATGTGGCCGCAGCGACCCTTAGGCGGCGATTGGGAAGCTAACGACCTCTGCCGCGTCCCCTTCGTCGCCTCCTTCGAGCGGGATCGGCCCTCTCCCGATCCCGCTCTGCGGCCTCCTTCTGGAGCATAACGTCCTCGCAGAAAGAGACCGCGGCTGCCCATCCCTCGCCACTAGCCAGCATTGCCGCGATCAATGCTGGCGGTGACAGGTTTCGTCCGATCTGTCCGACCAAGACTTGACGTTCGGACTCCCACGCAGGGCAGTCCTCCAGCGTGTGCTGGGCGGAGTCCCGGTCGGACCCGCAATGGTGGCATTGTGCCGTGACCTCCCGTCCAATTCGATTCAGATACTCACCGAAGCAACCGTGCCCGGTGAGCACCTGAGTCAATCGGTAGGTGACACAGTCGTTCCTCCCTACCCACGCTTCGAAGCTCGGCAGAACGGCTCCGACTGCGCGTTGGCTAGCACAGCCCTGGATTTCGAGCCGTGCCTGCCAGGTCCGCAGAGCCTGCGTATGTGCGTTCCGCCTTAGCATTCCGGGATCATGATCTGGCGCGGCCCCTTCACCATTCCGACCGACAGAGCGAACTTGGTCATAGACCATCGCGTCCATGTCTGCCAGAATGTCGAAGGGTGGATATCGCGCCAGGACCGTTGCCGCCTCAAACGAGATCGTATGATAGCCCCGTACGATCCGTATGGCCAACAACCGCTGCAGGCTTCTAAGTAGAGCCCCGCAGCGGGAGGCACCCGCCAAATACTCAACTCACCTACATATTTCCAATTCCTACCTAACATCCGCATTTCATTTTCTATGTGCCAATCACAACAGAACTCTCCGTCCATTAAACAATCCACTTCTGTTATGCCTCACTCATACTTCCGCATGTGTCCACTCTTCGTTCTTAATCCAATCTGTCCTCCTCTGGAACGCTCTGCCTTTGGAAATCAGGATAGCACCCAGTCGCCTCTCATTTAAGACGAAAGTCCGAGCTCGAATTCTCGACACCCTGGCAGACTCATCACATCCCTAAAGTCTTATACATATGTTATATGTATATATACGTATGTACTATATGTATGTATGTAACTCATCAAGTATATATATATGTATATGTATCTCAGTATGTATGTAACCTAATTTTAATTTCATGCACCTACTCAGACATTTCCCCACCACCCAAAGGTAGACTGGGAGAAAATGCCTTTGGCATAAAGTCCGCCATTGTACAATGATTTGTTGTTTGTGCAAAAAGAATTAAATAAATAAATAAAAATCTATGATATGCCTGTGCTGATCTACAACCGCTTGTTTCCAAGGGGTTGAGCCTTTTGAAAAGAAAAGGCAAACAAACTCATGCCCCAAATCTCACTTCACATTGATTCTGGGAGGAAGAGACTCAAAGGGCGGCAACGCTCTTGCGACTTTTGTTGCAGCTGTCCATGGGCGGTGGTAGTCACTTACTATCAGGCTGCTCATTTGAGCCCATATGGCAAACAAAAAAACTGAATGCATGAATGATCGGATTTATCGTTTGATTAGTAGTTCAGTATTCCTACCATCATGCTGATACGTTATTTTTAACCGACTTCCGAACCGAAAAAGGAGGAGGTTTTCAATTCGAATGTTTTTTTTGTGTGTGTTTGGGCATAACTCTATCATAATATATAGACAAATTTAAAAAATTTTTTTTTTGTTCAAGAGGTGTTTATTCCGAAATGGTCCTATTTAAATTTCATAAAGATCTGATGAAAAGTTTCGGCAACAGACAACTGAACTCTTCAAAAAATGACAGCAAATAAACCACGATTGCTGCTAGGTTTTTAGTGCTCCTTGTTAGTATTGTTTGAAGTCGGTTCAACTTTTTTAAGAATGATTTTCGTGTAAATCTCAATTTTAAATTTCTATCTGTTACTTTTGTAGATCTAATATTTATATAAGTACTTAGGTAGTATTTTAAGTTGTTATATTCTTATGACGTATTCGGACTTACCGTACTTGTTCGTTCCCAAGTCCCGTGTCACACTCGTTCGTGCAAAATAAGATTGATGCGTAATTAATGATATTTGTTTACACACATGATAGCGAATCTTTCAGAGGCCAAGTTGACGCTCTACACCTTGGCCTATATAAGTATTTAGGGTGCGTTGACACTGATAAATGTGATACAAAAATGTTAACCGGTTCCGTTGGCTTTGTTTTTTTTTCTTAAAGAATTTAGAGGTAAGGTAATAAATAGTCAAATACTTACTACTAAAATACTACTTATTGAGTTATTTGATAAATACCAGCTACAGAAGTACACTGGTTTATTGCATCAAAGTCTCAAAGTGAAAGTAATCTTTAGAAGTGCAAAGTATATAGTAAAGAAAAAAACTTAAACAGCTTCAATTCCAAGAAATTAGTTTTATTTTAAGAATAAAAAGAAACTAACAGACTGCTTAAGAAAGTTAATGACCTCTGAATGTTCTCTCATTTTTATTCATCAATACAAAAAAGAACTCATAATTCAATATTTTTCTGAGACATAAATTTCATAACGGAGTTGCGTCTGGAACTTTGCCAAATAAATGGTAAGGAACCAAGATCCTATCACTGGTATCTAATGTTATAATTAGAGAAAGTTTTAGTGAACGATTTTATCTGTGTAAGTTATTAACTCTACTTAATATGATACAAATTTCCGAAGAAATGAAAATGTTCAGTAATATGTCAAAGAATTATATTTGTAATGAGTAAGTTAATGAAAGAGAGTCGATAGTTCTTTGTAGTTTAAACATTTACTCGTAATTAATATACTGTGATAGGTAATTAATAAACAGTTAATCATTCACATTCTTAATTCAGTAAGGTTTCATATGGCTTAGCAAATGACCATAATATATTGTTTCTGTGGGAAAGAAACGTTTCATGTTTTGTAAGTAGGTTGCATAGGCAACTTACTATATACGGAGTGATCTGTCAATTAGTAAAAGTTGGATTTGACACTTTTTTCAATAGCAACTACTCAAAGAAATTTCACATGTAATTAACACAATTTATTTCTTTCATAGGAATATAATTCTGGTGGTTGGTGATGGTATGAGCCTTACCACAACAACAGCAGCCAGGATCCTCCGAGGACAGCGACGAGGCCAGTCTGGGGAAGACACTGACCTGGCGTGGGATACCTTTCCTGCAGTTTCTTTAGCAAAGGTACGTACTATCGGTATGAAGGATTAGCTATCAAATAAGATAAAACAATGACTGGCATATGTAACGACCTGGACAATTTTGTCTATACTTGGGCTGTGTTCCAAATTATATGATTTTATCTCAATGGGTATTCACAGTTACTGAGATAAAATTGAGACCATATTTATACTTAAGCTTTATACTTTTTTTTTAATCCGTATCGCTAAACTTAATATAATCATTAATAAAAGATAGAACATACACTACAGTTATGGTATAGAAAAATTGTACTTATTTAAATAATTTATTTTGTTGCTTTCTGAATTTCTATAAAGTTTTGAGTTTAAATGTTTGCTTTTGCGTCTTGTTTATTCTCTTACTAAGAATATATTACATTCCATTTAAACAGTAAACAATGATTGTTTCTATTATTTTAATGTAAAGCCTCTTTCAAATTCAGAGATTATGTCGTAGCTTATCTACTTATAATCCATCTCCCGGAGTTATGTGATACGAAATCGTGCGGTTGACCTGTGACTTTAAACCCAAAAGGGTTAGCTGAGTTAATGGAGTATCATTATTGCTTTGTGCAGTATTTGATGCTTAGAACTGTTTTGTTGTTGTTGTATGAAATGGAAGTGTCCAATTATATTTATCTAAATATGTGTTTTGCTTTGCGTACGTATACTTATTTGTCCAATCCAGTCTGCCAGTGCCCATAAAACCATTTTCAGCACTAGGACAATAATATAAAATTTTAATTTTTTTAAATAAAATGGAGAAAATTGCTTATTACACTTTCTGTTCTGTCTGTATTGAACTGTTTTAGAATAAAGAAAAAAAAATGTTTCATATTATTATTGGAAATATTTAACCTTTAATATCTACTAAACAAACAAAAATCCTATGTCAAATAGATGTCAGAAAATTACTGACCTTTTTTTTGTCTTTGTCTAGACTACATAAAGAAACTATCTGAACTATTTTTATTTATATCACTAATGCTGGCTGACCAAGCAAAGAAAAAGGTAAAATGCTTGAGAAACATTTTTTTGTCGGTGAAGACATTAATGTAATTGTAACATAAATAATAGCTTGATTTATTCTTCTCCACTGTACATTTACTTATTTACTGATATCACCAAGATATATTCGTGCCTAGTTCTTAGAATTAATGAGATTATATGATTATGATTATATTAACACGATTAATATGAGGAATTAATAAATTGCAGACTTAAAGCTTTGGAAGTATCTTAAAATGTACATTAATAACTGCTTACATAATATTTTTTGTGAATTTTTATTCGTCTTGTTTGTTGATACATTTAATTTAATGTCTGAAGAAGAAGGACTTCTGCAATGGGTAGGCCTAAATCACACACGTCTCCATTTAAATGTTTTTTTTTAAATATACATTGTTATCAATATTCTTGCTTAATTTTAGTTCATAAAAAATGTTGTTACGTGTTTACGATATGTACAACGAAGAGCATAGTACTAATGTGTTACGAGATTTTCGAGTGTATATGTAGGTTGCTTGATAACTGTAAGACTATTATCTGTTATAAAATTCCACGAAACTAAAACATTAAAAAAAAATACTTTCGTTGATAAAAAGGATTGTATTACATATTTATATTATAGAAAATAATACAAGTACATTTAAAAAAATTCTTAAATGCATTTTTTGCAAATGAAATAATATATAAAATGTACATGCATAATTTATATAATAAAGTAAATAGAAGGCAGGCGGGCTGTTTATACGTATTAACTCGTAAAGTTTATGTAGCTGTATGGTAATTTTAGTGAATCAATTTCATCGGTGTGTTGTGCCTTTGACTCGCCTTTACTCTCGACTTTTAAGTTAAACTGTTTAGATGATCAGAAAATATTCTTTGCATCATTGTAAGTTATTGATAGTTATCAATGATGAGGCGCAGTGTGTTTTATGAGGCGGATTTGTAAAGCAGAATTTTCTAAAGTTGAAAGGAGAGTTCTCAGGAGCCGGGTGTACTTGTCTTGGATGTCAACAATTGCTCGGCTGCTTGACGACTTAGTGTGGTGGTGGGCTAGTTTCACCGTTAGAGTCCACGTCTCAACAACACGAAACACGTACGTGCAAGAGTTGAGGAGAAAACTTGACGTAGTATAATCTAACTGTATCTTTTTGGGTAAAAATTGCATAACAATGGTTTTTTGATCTGTAAACCGAAAAAACATTTATAACAATGCTTCCCTGGTTTCATGAGTTGCTAAACATATTTAAAGTTTCAGTCATCCTCAGTGATACAACCTGTCTCGTCTCTGGTCACGTTATGGGGGCTTTACCAAGTCTACTTTGTGTTAGACTTCTTAAAGAAAAAAAATCAATAAAAGAGCTCTTTCACTTCGAGAAAGTTGACAAGTATTTTACCTCTGCGATTTTTAGCCACGCTTGATAGAATTCGATTCTCGTTTCACTGAAATCTTGTACTCCCACTTTGGCATTTAAATCTCCCATAACAACGATGTAGTGTATACCGATACCGAGTGGTACTGATGGTACTGTTAGGAAAATAACTTATTATTCTTATTTCATATTAATAACATTCGCAGGACAATCTACAAATTAAATTATAATTTGTTTGTTTATTAAAATTTAATTTGTTTTCCTAACACAGACATACAACATAGACGCTCAAACTGGAGAGTCATCAGCTTGTGCCACTGCGCTGTTGTGTGGTGTGAAAGCCCGTTACGAAACTCTGGGTCTCGATGCGGGCGGAAGATTCAATAACTGCGCATCAACTATCAACTCTAAAGTGACGTCATTAATAGACTGGGCACATGAAGCTGGTAAGCTAGCATTTGTAACATATTTATTCTTTATTGTTTCTTTTCTACTTCTTTCCACCAGAATCAAAGCTTTTTCCAGAATCAAAAGTTTATCAAAAAAATCGGGTTTCAGTACACGGCACACTTATCACATGATATTGATTGTATGACTTCAGTTCTAGTGAAGGTTGGCATTTTTGGGCAATTTGTATTAATATAATCTTTTCAATTTCAGAGATATTTTGATAGTTTTTGTGTCGTAAATAAAACGATGCTTATAATAAAAGATAGGTAAAACTAGGTGATAACTAAGAATATAAGTATGTTAATTTAAAACTTGATCAGCGACAATCGGACGTTATAGTTGTGAGTTTGTATATTCTACTTTAAAAACTCAGTACTCGTAGAAGGCGGGGTAGCATTGTAACACATTTGACTAGTTCCTTTAATTACATCATTGCATGGCGACATACTTCTGATACTGATAACAGCAAATGTTATCGTTCAACATAATCGAATAAAATAGGATAAGCGTTCGTTTTATTTTAATTTTATAAAATAATATTAAGAAGTTACTTTTTGATTTTTTTTCTTCATACGTTTTTCTTTGAACATGTGTAGCTAACGTAATACTGCGGAGACCAAACCTGAAATATGTTATTTTAAAGTTAGACCTACCCAAGCTTAATGTACTAAAAGCAGTCTAGATTTGAGGACTTTATGTAGAGAAATAAATTAATTAGTGCTTATTTCATCTTGCATTGTTTTCAAATGTATTTTCATTTTGTTAAAAAGCGTTTTTTTAACTATTTTTATCTACAGTTATTGAAGGAATTCAAAGAAAGCAAAACATACCTCCTCCGTTAAGTGATGTTTTCGTCCTTGCGGTACTACTAAAAGCTATCGTTATCGAAAAGCCTTTGGTCAGGATTAGGGTTAAAGCCAAACAAAAATTAAATACTAAAATTAAGATAAATAAATACCGCATGACGAATAATCTAAACACGTATCATTCGCGTTAACTAATGGTCGTTAAACAACGACAATTTTATTACAAATTTATTTAATATTTTGAGGTGGATACTTTAAGTTTTTAAATTAAACATTCAACGGCTGACATCTAAAAGGATGAAAGGACAAAACTAAGTCCTAGGCCCGTTTTAATTTTAATGAGGACTTCAACTCCTTTAGATCAGGCATTCATCGCATTTAAGATACGAGGTTGTTGGTAAAATCTGTATAATAATATGTGAATGAAATGCCCTGATTAAGCTTTAAAGTAGCTTTTGTTTTATTTACTCGGTATTTAGTATATAGTACATATATTTATGATTCATGTAATAAATTAGTTTTTTTGTAATGTTATTGCTTTTATATTATTCAATATTTTTTTAGAACTCCGGGAGATAAAACAGGCGGTTTTACACAAATATACTGACACAAAGACACAAAATCCAGTGCATCATTATTTATAAAATAAACAACACAATACAAAATACTGTACTGTAATAACTGCTCTGTCAGCACATACAAACTCAATGATGCGTACCTTAATTTTAAATTTATTATTTGAAATACGCCGAGAATAATGAATTTGGGTTTTCGTGCAAAATATGGCCGCTATTGATACGGAGCGTTATTGCGGAATGTTGCCACTATGACTGACCACTCAAAGATCCACTCATATCTTGTTTTGCACGGTTCTATCAACATTAATAATACACTCCAATGAGATATTATATTGAATTGCATACAGTAGTGGTGGCTAGATCAGTCCACCACTGACCTGAACATTATGATTATTTTTACACCAGCTAATTTAATAATTGGAACGAAGTTCCTTATCGCGCGTTGTGAAAGACGGAAAAAAATCTCACGAAAAGTTGTAACGACACTTTTTATGTCAGTCATTCAGCGCCATCTATCGAATAGATAGGAAATCATTACACTTCATCTCAGTATTTATTTTGAATTGTCACTTGTCAGTCATTCAGCGCCATCTATCGAATAGATAGGAAATCATTTCTCAAGGAGATTTTACCAATGTATAAATTGTTTTAATTAGAAACCATCTGAAAAATATGTAGGTAATAGCCGCTTTCATAGATGGCGTTGTAATTAAAATCGTGTCGAATCAGTTTTACTCGATCGTCACAACTTCGTTCCTATCGGGTATCCCACGACACCACACGGCTTTTAAATTAATATTTAAAGGGTATTGGGTCTAAGATCTTGCCCTGCGGTATAAAAAATAAACACCATGCCATCTAACAAATGTTTTCACAAAAAAGTTAAAAAAAATTACTTAATGATGAATGATATCTCTTCTGTTTTAGTTGTACATAAATCAGTTGGGCATATCTAAAGTGCTTTTCTTTGATTTACACTTAGCACTGATCAAGTTATCAATTTAGACATCAATATAATTCATTCATTGTAGAGTCTACCGCCAAACCAGTAGTTTCATTATACTTGTTTGAAACCTTTTTCTTTTAATCAGGAATTGTCTTGAAAATATTCTAAGTTACCAACACCAATTTCATAAAAGACTTTTAGCATTGTGACTTTACACTGTAAAGTAAAGTTTACAGTGTACCTTGAGTTTTCTACTACGTTATTTAAAACACTTTTCATCGTTCTCGTTCTAAATTCATATTATTGTCATCTCAAAAGCCATACGATTACCATTTAGACTTCAAGTTCAACTTTCTTGCAAAACTCCTTAGATCATAATCATAAACCCACCAACGACCAGAAGCAAAGTTAGGAATTTATATTATATTAATATAAACAGTTTAGCTTAAACAAAGTAAGCTCTCAAGGCTTCATTGTTTAAGGTTTCACAACCTTCTGAAATATTCAAAATATTTCACAAAAGGCTTTTGCATATTTTTTTACGGGCAAGCGACTGCAAAATTTAAGAGTGTGTAAATTAAGTATTCTATCAAGTTTTTACGGTGAAACGAGTTATATTTTATCCTAAAGTGACATAGAGCACTCGTGCTACAGTAAAAAAATTACAATATGATTTTACAATGAGTTGTATAACCTTCTACGTGACTTTACGCACGATATGTTAATTTGTATTTTAATATTGATGATGAATGCCTCTTTGGAAATTGTAATGTAATTTTACTGTGGAGCTTTTTTAGCTGTCCCAGGGAGACTGGGAGTTAAAAGCAGGAGTTAAATAATGTAATTATTGAAAAAAAGGAGTTAAAAATAAATTACTGCCACCATGTGGGTTCAAACTGTAATAATGAAATTAGTCTCACACTACGTTACACGTAGAAATATATTTATAAGTTTCTCTTTCACCAGGAAAATCCAGCGGTATTGTAACAACAGCACGCATAACTCACGCTACACCGGCAGCGTTATATGCGCATGCTCCTTCAAGATATTGGGAAGATGACAGCAGAGTTCCTCCTACAGTAAGAAAAGACTGCAAGGACATAGCATTACAGTTAGTTGAAAATGAACCAGGACGAAGTATAAATGTAAGGAAACGTTATTTATTTTAGGCATATATTTTACTTACTAATGTATTTGTTGACGTGGGGGAGGCATGTGGCACACATAGGCTGGTGCCACCGTAGTGAACACGGCCTTAGAATAAGCCAGTGTTAAGCATTTATTCGTTATTATTCACTGAGTGAGTAAAGTTACTATAATACAAAAAAAATCTGCTATAGCCGTGAAATTTTTGCTTCTAAATCTATGGCCGTGACGATTATGCACAGATTTTTCAAGACAGTTGTTTAGTTTCAGTTCAACTCGTTAGGAGGTGGAAGCTTCACTTGACTCTTACAAACATTAGTTTTTTTTTAAGTTTAACGTTTCCACAACAAACCAGAAATATTTATGAAAGATCTGTCCACTGATATCCCAAACTATAAAATAGCTTGGAAAATAAAAATTATCCCAAAACCATTTCGTTTAATATTGAGAACAATCTCACCTTTAAAAAACTGTGTTTATAAAATATAATTATTATACCTTCGTGTTTTTAACGTTTATAATTTTTATCATTTTTATAATGTTTTTATTTAAAGACTGTTCTTATTATAATTATTAGCAAAGGAATCATTTTTAAAGGAATTTTTAATCAGGCATAAAATGAATATAATCTGCCATTATTTACGCCAAAAGCAGGCAGACACTTCAATTTGTAGGTATTTGAGGCAGCATGAGAATTTGTAAAAGTCAAGTTGATCGTTTTCGTAACCTGGTGTGCCTTAACTCTGTCGGTCGTCGATATGCGCCCTCTCGCACTCATTTCATTTCCTAGCACCAGGCAGGCCACTAAGTCCTAATGAACTGACCTATCTTTTTAAGAAAAATATTTTGTTAATTATGATTTTAACTCTGTATGATTTTTTTAAAAAGAACAAAAACAACTACTTTTTGAACATGTAAGGGTTAATAAGACTTCACTACCCTTTAGTCAGTTTAGTAGTGTTCAATTTCGTATTACGACATTACTAGAAACTTTCAAAAACTTTCATACGTCCTGAAATACCTACTCAAAATTGTCTTGCCAGCTCTAATACTATTTGTAAAATGTAATAATTTACGTTGGTAAACTTATATGATAAGAGAAGTATTTTTTAATAAATATAAATATTTAATCATTTTTAGATTATTTAAAAATATTTCTTTGTTTTTAAGAATGTGTTTATTTTGAGATGATTAAAAAGTTTGAGACCTCGTTGATCTAAATTTAATAATTTTGTCATCTTCGATAAATAATGAGTGTCAGAAAACTCGTCAATTTTGTTATATGCATACTTTTATAAAAAAACTACTTCATCCCACATTCCCAAGGCTTTTTATGAAAAAGCTTTTGAGTCTAAATAGAGTACTTGTTTCCTACAACAGTAAGCAACGTTCAGATAAAATGTTTAAATTGATTACCTAAACATATTTATAGTAGACCAAAACCTCATTTCTAAGGAGAGGCCTATGTCCTGCATGAACTAAAGGCTGTAGATGTGATGTGAAACATAATATTTACTTCTGTTTAGGTTGTAATGGGCGGAGGAAGAAGACATTTTTTACCAACGATAACTCCAGATCCAGAACATCCAAACCGTGAGGGAAGAAGATTAGACGGAAGGAATTTAGCAGAAGATTGGGCCAGAGAAAAAAAGAGGCGACGATTAAGAGCACAGTACGTTCACACAAAAGAACAACTTGTAAAATTAGACCCTAGGACGGTGGATTATTTATTAGGTAAGTACTCGTAATTTTAAATGTGAATTTAATTATTGATCTGTTAATTCTTGATTATTAAAGCAAGCAAACGTTTACTAAATATATTAATAAAAATAAAATAATTTAAAGAACTCCCAAAAATAAAATAATACTATAATTATGTTGTGTTAAAGTTAGTTGGTTATATAACTTCTAGAACAAGTGTTTTATGTTGCAATAACACCTGTATTTATACACCAGTCGCAACATTTTCCCTTATTTGAATGTTGTAAAGGATATGTTTACTTATGTATAGTATGTTCGATTTACTTGTCAGAATATTTCAGTATTTGAATAACTGTATTTTGCCTAGATAAATGTTGAAACTTTTTCATTTAAATAAGTGTGAAAATCAATTTCCTGGTAAATTTTGAAAGTCCTTACAACCAACATTACTTACAACATTAATTTTTGCGAACCAAAATAAGAAGCAAAGTCACACACACAGCGTATTTTCATGACGTGAATGTGTAAAATATAAATCACGATGTTCGATACACTATACAATGTGAGACCATAAACAGCCAAAAGGGTTTCATAGCTTCTGTTGATATTGAAAATATGCCTGCTTTTTTCACAATGTGTAACCAGTATTAATTACCACAGGAAAATATTTATCGAAATAATACAAACAGTAATGTATTTTATTTACAACAAATACATCCCATTTCTCCTATGCGAAGAATACATTATGTGTTATGTGTCATATATAAAAGTCGCTTCATTGACAGTAGCATCACTGATGAAATTTTTTATCAAACTTATAGCTTCAGCAAAACTACGCAAACCTGGCTTTCTTAACTTATGACTTCAGTCCGAAGTTAAACGGCTATTACGTTAAAATATGTTCTTTTTCATATTTTTTGAAATACCTATATATTCTGCCGGTTGGAAAATTAAAGAAAAATGATTCTTTTGTGTGCTTTAGTAAGGTTCATTTAAAGGTTAAAAGCTTACTCAACCTTTGAGTACTCACAAAGGCCTGTATTTTGTGTATTTTTAAACGCATATACTTTAATCCAATAAAGTTTATGCGTTTAAAAATTTGCGTCAAATCTTTACAATTACATAATCGAAATAAAATTTGGATATATGAGTATATATGAAACTAGAACGACACTGACGTAAACGTAATTAAAGTTTAATTGGAAAGCGATCGGAAAGCGTCTCTTTTTGGAAAAAATCGCAAACAATTTTACTTTACTTTAAAGCTCATAGTAACGATAGTTAATAAAAACTAAAAAATCTTTTTTTCTAAGTCACCCTTAAAAATCGCACTACGTCATTTTCTTAACTGATCCCAGTTCATCCATTTCATCACAGGACATGTTTTTTTTTCTATTCTTAATTCACCCATTTTGTTTAATTTGTTATTCTTAACACATCCCTTACAACGATTTCTTTATAAAAAGCGTTTTGTGAGTACAGTTTTGTAAACAAAATTTATACGACTGTGGAAAAAAGGAGGTTATAAACACCTTGTTGTATTGAGTGACTAACTAAAACGAAACTAAATTGAAAATATTTTTTTTATAATATTTAATCCGATAGGTTAATTTACACAAAAATGTTACCTAATAAAACAAAAAGAGAGATGTGATGAAAATAATATAATAATTAAAGAAACGAAACTCAACAGCATTAAATTACATATTAAATAAATAAAAAAAGCACTTAAACATATATAAATTAACAAATAAGCAAGAGAAATCTCTAAATAAGAGGTAGATACAACACCTACCATATTGTAAAACAAAACTATTATCGAACAGCAAAAAAAGCGCTTAAATCTTATAAAAAGATTTAAAATAATATTATATACTTGTGATCAAGGAGCACTATAATTAGCACACCTACTAGAATTTAGTTAACAAAGTGCAGGTAGAAAAAAGTTAGGTACCCACTGTTTAAACTATCTTGATCGCTTATCTTATATAATAAAATGGTTTCTGTCTCTGTCTCACTCTGTGACAATTCTATCTCTTTCACTTCATTAGTATTCACGGATACTTGAACGTGTGTCCTTCACAGTAATTATATTGGTTTAAAGTGAAGCACACCAAAATGTGTAAATGTACAAGAAAACATGGTAACGACGATTAAAAAAGATAGTCTGCCAAGAAAAAGCTGCTTAAAATAGTGACATGTAACTTTAGACAAATATACAAATATTTTACTACCCAACAGATAACAAAAAAATGTGAGATAAACTAAATCGGATTAATATCGCATCATGAAAACTGGCGCCCAACCTTTTTTGATATCGATACAAAATCCTCCTTTAGAACGCCTCTATGCCTGTATTTAATGTCACTAAAATGCATGGAAAAACTTGAAATATATTGCTAGCTTAAATATAAGTATGTTTTACTCGTACAAGATGATTAGTAATAAATGGGACTTGTTCTTCATAGGTTTTAAAATTGAGATGATATTATATTTACAAAGGTAAACAGGGTCGCCGAATTTTTACTTCTGTAACTTAAAGGTGATGCCCCAAGTTATGTACTTGGATGGGTGAAGGAAAGTTAACTGAACCTCCAATAACAATAAATTATACTGACGATAAATATCAAGGGTTTCTTGAGGAGATAATTGGCTTTAAATTGAAAAGTATTCTTGATACAAACAAGTAGTCAAAAGATGAAATTAGCTCTTAACAGAGATTATTATAGTTATATTCGAAGACCAGAAGCTAGAGATGGTTTTTTTTACGGGTATAAAAGTAAAGCTAGCCATAACATACGATTCGAAATATGTACAAGTATGTAATTTTGTCAAATGATGGTAACTCGTCGTCACCATGACTTGACGTGATTGCTTGTGTTAGTCATTTTAAGCATCATTGTAGATACACTATCAATGTAATATCAGCATGATAATCAACTTAACAATGGGGTTACCATAAAAGTCTTTTCTTACATAGTAAAATACAAATTTAGGCCGATGCCTAATCAGTTTTTAATTTCTTTAATAATTACGTCATACATGTCTTGAAACAATGTAGTTAGTTTATAGAAGATTTTCTATTTTAACTGTTGTATACATTATAACAATTAACGGGGAAAAGACTTTGAAACAAGTACGATGTTTTCTTCAGTGTTTGATAGATATGTCCATCAGCACACTAGATAACAAAATACAGGCTAAGCCTAGTTTAGGATGTCTCCGTGACTAAGTGTGTAAGATGTGTCAAATTTGTATTACCTATTCTTTTTTATTAAATATTGTTCCTTTATCTTAAATGTTACAAATATGAGGTTTTCACAAAAAAAATTAAATCAATAAATCTTGCTAGCATTGGCCTCTCTATTTACTATCTTACTACCCTTTTCTCAAATTTATTGGGGGTCAATGCCATAAGTTCTCTTCGTCCTTGATCACTAGACATCCTCTTTCACGCTCTTATTTTATTGCCGCCGCCGTCTTCCTAAGCGAAAGATTTTTGGGAACTCCAAACACCAAGGTTTTTTTCCTATTGTCAAACCAAACAGTTTCAAAGACTTTTTTCTGCATTGCAGCCATTATCACATTGGTATTGCTTTTCCCGTGTAGGTTAAATTTTAACACATTCAAAAATTTTCTTATTGACAAAGCTAAATTTTATTAATTGACCTCTGTCAGTCCTGGATAAAATGGTAGTAGCAAAGCTTCAGTGGCACCTAGTACCGAGGCTCAGTACTCGCCAGTATGGCTTCATGCCCTGAGGAGCACCGAGGACACTATCTAAACCCTAGTGAACCAGATAAAACGATAAGTAAAAACAACTACGCTAACCAAAAAAAACGAGCTAAGCATGGACTCTTGTTATGCAATTTGTTTTATAAAATAAAAAAATATACTTCTTTTAACCTTAATATATTATAAATAATTCTCGATTCAGAAGAATATGCTTTAAACTTTAAATTACGTAGAATATTCTCATCTACGATGTCGTATTATTATAAGTTACTTAGATTTTATCAATGTAAATCCTTTTGTGAATAAATTTTACAACTCTCCAGAGACGAGACAATAAGGGTACGATAAAAATTACAATTTTTTCACAAAAATGTTTTAGAAGAAAGACTGTGTGCTGCTAAATTTTATTACAACAAAAGTTATCCGTAACACTTTGGACCGACCTCTGTAACAAATGTGTAAAATATTTGCCTTTATCCAGATTACAATTTTATCAGCGCTTTGTTGTTTTATAATCTCATCTAAATCCTTTTAAATCTTACACGACCAACGTAAAGCAGCATTTGCATTTCAAATATGGATTATAACTGTTACTAGCATTCTTAATTCAGATATGATATTATCCACCACGTTTCTTAATCCACTTTGCGCGTCCCTTGGAGTTAAATAATCGGGTTTCAAGTTCCGGACTAATATTTTAGAAATTGTTTAAGTGGTAGCTAAGGCTTAAAGCGTGTACCACGCTTTTTAATTCAATTGTTCATTTAACCAAAACATAAGTGCTTTTATAAAAACACATATACCTATATATTTTAAAACTTTAGACTAATTTACAAACACTGGCACTAAGAAGTAAGAAGAAGGTTCTTCTTTTGTTTCTACAGCAAAATTTCATTATTATCGATTGAATGTGTTTAAGTTGTTCTAAGGAAAATTTAAGAAATAACACCTTTTGCTTTTGTAATTATAGTATTTTCAAAAATACTACAAATATAGCTGTTCTACGTAAGCTGGTGCCGCGATAAATGATAGCCGTTGCACTAGATTTTCTAAAACTAAAAACGTATCGTGTATTTGTTATGTGTTAATAAATAATAAATGCATTCAGAATTATATAATAGGATGCAATGTAGTAGGATGACTGACCCCAATGACTTCCATTTTTAAAAGGCATAGGCATATTCAGCGTCTTCTGCTACTAAAGTTTCTTTTGTAGTAAACAATCATCCTTAGTTCCATCATATTATACTTATAACAGTTTATAAGTAACAACTAAGGAAAAAAAAGAAAAGCGGTAA